ATTTCTCCTAACTACAAAATATTATGTCTTTCTTCCTTTTAAAACTCAGTGATCTTGTCTTTGTACCATGCACAAGGAACTGGGAAGCACAAGCCTTCCCATTCGGATCAAGCTGGAAGCTTTCTTCACGTTCAGCTTGCTGAGAACAAAAGGACAGTACAAGGGTGGTGGAGATGAGACAAATACCCCCCGATAAGCACAAGGTTCAAGCAGCCTTCCCCTCCATCATCCGTAAAACAAAAGCACCTCTAGTAATTTCCTTCCCTTTTCTCTGCAGACTTCTCCCCGGAGATCCCAGCGGACCGGAGAAAGTCACCGCTGGAACATGAGGTCGGGCTGAGCTCTGTTTGTCAAATATTACCCGAGACCCTCCCTTGCAGAGGGGTCTCTCGCCTGCTCCTGGGCTCAGAGCACAATTATGAGCCTTGTGTTTCCACCAAATAAAATGCTTACTCACTTGCAGTAGGCACTTTGACATCCTTGGCCGCACACTGCTAGATAAGGACTATAAAAAGAACGTATTGCTATTATAGGTGATACAGCAATATGTATCCTCAAATGAAAGATCCTTTATAAGCCTGGTTATTATTCTGGCAGTAATCTTGGATCTCTCTCTCCGGACTCAACTCAGCTCAACTGTTAGCAAGCACATCGCCACCACGAAGGGGGACTGCGAGGTGTCACATTTACCTTCTGTTGTTTCAGTATATCCTCTATCATCCCAAGTCAGGAAAACACTTCTCTCTTCTCCTGTGCATGTCAAAAGCACCATTTGCCATTTAGATTTAGGAAGCCAAATATAGCCATAGTATAAACAGGTGCGAGCCCGCATATGTCAATAGAATTACACCTGCTTGTAATGGGTTTACATTTGGCCCTTGAGCCCTGGGGATCCCTTTGGGAGCAGAGGCTGTATTAAATATTAAGGGCCTTATTCTCCACCCCTGCCTACGCTGTAGTAATTAAATCTCAGTGCAAACCCATTGATTTTCGACCGCGCTCTCCTTGCATGAGAAGGTAGTGCTCAGCGCGCGGGAGGGGGCAGAGCTGTCCCCTCAAGGAAAAGCACATCCATTTTGCTCCTCGCAGAAATTTCACCCAGAAGGAAACGATACCCAGCACTAAATATTTGCAAAATGGGCTTGGGTAAAAGAATACAAATGGTCTAAAATTAAACATTTGCTGCAACTCTTCCCCATTCCTTCCTGGCTGTGACAGCAGCACTGCTGGCTGCCTTGCAGTCGCTTCCTTCGTGCTGCCGTGTCCGTGAGTGCCACGGACGAGCTCTCTCCATCCCAGCACAAGGACCGTCGGAGCCAGACCTGTCTGTTTGCCCCAGGAGCAGTGTGATTTCCCATCCTCCGAGCCTGTTCCTGGATCTCCTGAATCGCGGCGTCACCTTGGACGAGCCGCACAGCTGCTGCCAGGCTCTCCGGGGTATTACGCCGATTAGTTAATTCTGGTGATTTGCCTGGAGCTAGCGCCTTTTACCTGTGTCTATACAAGTATTATTGCTAGCTTCTGATCTTGCAGGGCTGAGAAAAACGACTTGGGTTTTTCTTTAAATGCCATGTAGTTTAGAAGTGTGACGACTCATACTGTGCTGTTATTCTTTCCAATTGAAACCTAATGATGCGTGCATATCACTTAACTCTGATGTCAATAATCAGCACACCACTTGGTCTTTGCCGTGGCTATTAGAGGGAATGAAAATGAAATACCAACTCCTTTTTATCCTGTTACTGTACCATAATAACTAATAAAGGAGTAATAAGTGAGACGTGGGGAATTTCCAGGGGAGTCATTACTACAGAGAAGACCTAAAGGCACAAAGTGAAATCCAGGAATATTAGCCAGCCGTGAATTCCCAGCCAGTGCTTCTCACTTAAGTTATGCTGCTGCCATAAAGTAAGTGTTTACAGAAAAAATTACCATGTGGGAAGTATCAGTCTGTGCCCTGACCGGAGGAGTGGAGACTGGGCTGGAATTAAAGACACTCTTGCAGGTAAAGCCTACCCTGTGCAGCAGCGTAGCGTTTAGGCTGGGCCACAGTCAAGATACACGCCAGAATTTCATAAATCTCACTTATGCTCCAGTATACGGGAAACGTTTCCCAGAAGAGCTCTAAATCACCTCTGCCTGGTCACAGGATGGAGCGTGCCTTTTCCAGGGACTCTTAGATGGGAGAGGCCACCTAGAGACCTCAGAGCAATGGGCCAAAGGAAATCATATCACAAAATACAGAGTCCATGAGGTTGCAAACCACATGCAAGTTGGGCAATGCACTTTCTGGCTTAGAAATTACTGAATTATTGGTTAGGAAGGAACAGTCAGTTTTTGGTGGGCATGTGCATAGAGGGCAGTGGGGATTCTTTGGTTTTCCTCCCCATAAATGGACTGTCATTTACCCATGACGAAAACCTGTCGCTGCTTAGGAATGATTCTGTCTCCAGCACCTCCCTGGTGCAAGGAAAATTTTGACCTTTACCTGCCACAGTTTTATCCACCCTCTCCATACCGGAGCCTCCTCTGCCCCTCAGTGTGGGCACAGGAGAGTTGACCTAAGCAGCACCTATAGCTTCTGCATGCCGGCGCTGGGATGTGTTCTCACACCTTCCAGCCCTGCATGTGAATCCCCTGCCTTACCAAAGAAAAACCTGGTTCGGTTAAATCCCAAAGCACATTCCCACCATTATCAAAGCATTTCCCAGCCATCTGATTTCCCCATCTCCGAGTTCCTGCTCTGTTTATCCTATTAATTCCAACCACCCCCTCTTCCCCCAACACACACGCACGCAGCCTCATTTACAGCATCTTCGCCAGCAGAAGCCTCCCCAAAATATTCAGGACACACCACGGAGAACTTACACGTGCGGGGAAACCCTCGTGACTAGAGCTTTTTTTTTTTTTTTTCTTCCCTTGAGCAAACATGATCTCATGATTTTTTTTTTTTTTTTAAGCTCTTAAAGGAAAAAAAAAAGAAAAAAAAAAAAAAAAAA